TATTTTCTTTTCTATTCCACTTTTCACTCTGATGGGCATAATTTGGACTTTGGACCTCATAATTACCTAAAAGTGTGCCACTCCGGAAATCTTAAATTAGTCTCTCCCTTTCAACCACAACTTCCCCTCTGTTCGAATGCCTTGGGCCCTGTCTCCCACTACCTCCTGCTTACTGACTTTAAAAACCAGAGTATTGTCATCACCATCCCTGCTATAGCCTCACTGGCTCCACATTAATCCAGACCATATGGCTTTGATCACATGAAACACCTCTGAAGCATTCCTGCTCCTTTACTCTTGTTCTGTGATCATACCTGTGTTGATTTCTTATGACTGCCTTAACAAAATACCACAAATAAGGTGGCTTAAAACAACAGAAATTTTTCTGCCACAGTCTGGAGGCCAAAGTCTGAAATCAATAACACTGAGCCAAAATCAAGAAGTTCTCTCCAGAGGCTCTAGGGGAAAATCTGTTCCTTGCCTCTTCCAACTTCTGGCGGGTGCCAGCATTCCTTGGCTTGTGCCTGCATCACTCCAATTTTTAAGACCAGTATCTCTCTGCTTCATCTTCACATCACCTCCCCCTCTGCATGTGAATCAAATCTCTCTGCCTCAGTCTTATAAGGACATTTGTGAGCCCATCTGGGTAATTCAGTATAATCTCCCTATCTCAAGATTCTTAAAGTAATCACATCTTTAAAATATAAGGTAATATTAACAGTTTCCAGGATTTAAAGTATATCATTTTGGGGAACCATTTTTTAACCTATTATAATGTCAGTATAGCAAAAGCCTACTCTGAAGTCAACCAGTATCTTTTTCCTCTTCTACTACTTGCCAGAAGGAAAAAATCAGAGGCATAAGAGTCACCATTAATTCACAAGTTTTATACCCAATTTGATATCCCCTTTACTTATCGATGACCTGGATTAGTTTGCTTACGGTGCCTGACACAGAGGCATAAAATGGAAAAATGCAAAAATCGAACACTTACGGAAAGATGTGACAAATCATTTTCCAATGGTAGAATTAAGGAAATAATTCTTAAAGAAGGACAAAATTAGTTATAAGAATGAAAGTATAATTAGAAATGATGATAAAGTACAATTATCCCAGTTCTCTGGGGAAAAGTGTTCTTTTTCAACTGTGCATTTTAACTACCAGAGGAAACATTCCTTATCTTACTAGGTATGTTAGGCTGTGAAAAAATAAGAGATGTCTAGAATATTTTGAGAGGTTATATAGAGGCCAAACCATCCTAGACTTCTCATCTTCCAACAAAAATAACAAAACAAAGAAACAAAAAACACACATAAAACAACAACAACAACAACAACAAAACCCAGAGAAGACTTGAGATAAATCTCCCGTAACTTAAATCCAAACATTTATCTCTCTCTGGAAAGCAGTAAGGTTAACAGCTGATGAACAAGAAAATGAAAACATCTGTAAGATACTAAATAAAACATGTATTGTTTTTACTTCATTATGTGGCAAGAACATAAAACCTGTAGCTTTACGCCTCACTAGAGAGAATAAAAATTGTTATCACAAACTTATATAACATGAGTTTTGAAGAGGATCTCTTGCTGATTGAAAAAATGCTTTTACCATATTTGCAAAATGAATGTCTTGAATATTGACAAGCTCTAAAAATGAAAAGTGTGTAGACATAAATCAAGAGTAGAAGTGGTAGTTTTGTGATTTGATGATTCTTTTCTATGCCTGGAATACTTTTGAGAAGTCAAGATTTTTATATATTAAATAAATATATGTGTAATATTTAATATATTAAATATAATAAGAGTTAGACTATTTCAGTTATCAGGGTAAACATATCTGTAGAGCTACATCTACTAGGGTGCTGGACTTCCAACCCTCTGGAAAGATGCTAGCTCCTAACACAGTATCATTGAGGCCTCATTAGCACTTATAATAGTATAAAGATCCATCCTAATCAGGTGCACCATGTACAAGTATGCATTGTAGAAATTATCATCATCATTATTAATTATTGTCAAAAGTAAAGAAAGATTCAGAAATAACTCCTACAAAGTAATAATCCTAAATTATTTGCAGTGTAATCCATGGCAATGAGAGTTTATTCTGTGTGTTTGCTTTTTTTTCAGTTACGGAGATGGGAACAAGAGACCTTAATCCTCAGCTATGTTGAAACTCTTGTTCGGGTGAAATAAATTCACCCACACAAAGAACATAGTAGCTGATTGGTGGAAAACCTCCACCAGAGCAAGACCATATCTGTTTTTTCTCTTCTGTTTATTCAGCTTAAGCAGAGAACCTCATACACTGTAGTAGATGCTAAATAATTATGTACTGGATAAATAATATACCAAAGTTAGAAATTCAGCTCTGGTAGGACAGAAAAAGAAACAGAACAATATTGATTGTGTAGAATGTGATTTGCCCTTTTACTGGGCACTTTGTGTAAAGGATCACTTAATTCTCTCCAGAGCCCTATAAAACAGGTATATTATCCTCATCATATGAATGGTAAAGACCTTGATCCTTGACATGTATAGTGGGCCAGGAATTAACTAACTAGGGCTGAGACTGTCACTATGACTTGAACTCATGCCAGGATTTGCATATGCCCTTGACCTCTCCCCCAGCTCTTGTGAATTTCTCATCCTTCTCATCCTTCAGATCTCTGCTTAAAAGTCACTTAAGTGTGACTTCTTCAAGAAGGTCTTCCCTGTAACCTTTCCTGGATTAGACTGTCTCCCATTCTTGCTCTGGAGCACTTACCACTGCTCTACCAAAATGATCATCTCTGGAGCTCCTTATTTCATATGTGCCTTCTCTGATAGATTCCAAACTCCCCAGAGGGCTTCGTCTGTCCTGTTGATTGTTTATCCCCAACACTTACTACACTCTCTGACATATAATATGTTTTCAAAAATATTTGATGAATAAATGAATGATAGGAAAACCCAGGCTTGCAGAAGTTAACCCATTCGAAGTCCCAAAACTAGTGCTATGAGTGGATTTTAAGCCAGGGGCTAACAAATTCCAGAGACTACAATTTAGAACAATTTAGAACAAGAAAAAGGAAGATTGATTTATGAATAAATAAACAGAAAGTATTTAGTAAGGATCTAACATCCTCCATTAAGTTAAAAAAATAACAAAAACTGAACAGGGTCGTAATAATCACCCCCACTGTTATAGAAATCATCCTCATCACAGTTAATGCCAGATATTGTACTAAACATTGTATATGGGTTATCATTATTTAAACCTCATAATAACTCCAAGATAAGTATTATCATTATTTCTGTTTTAAAGATTTAAAATTTTCCTCAGTAATATAGCCAAGCAAACCCAAGCAATCTGACTTCAGAACCCACATGCACTTAAAAGCAAATTTATTCGAATTTCAGACTTGGGATTTTTGTTGTTGTCTTGCTTATTTACTTGTTTCCTTAGACCTACAACCTACAGATTTTTAATGACTAAAATTAGGGGTGGCTCAACTGCCAAAAAAGAGATTATAATTTTAGGCTGATTTACTCCAACTGTAATATCCAGAATAGAGGAGTTAATAGTTTCTGGGCCCCTTTCCCTGAAATAGTTAATGTTCCTATATACCTAATTTGGGGAGTGCCTGGGTGGCTCAGTTTAAGTGTTTGACTCCTGGTTTCAGCTCAGTTCTTGATCTCAGAGTCATGAGTTTGAGCCCCCACATTCGGCTCCATGCTGGGCGAGGAGCCTACTTAAAAAAAAAATGAAATTCTACATACCAAATTCGGGAACAGGAGCTCACAATCCCCTTTCATAAAGGGAAAATATCTTTCTGGAAAGAAATCTACTCATACTTACACCAATAACAAGTTTAGGGAAAGAACTCTCAGAATATGAACTAGAAATCGGATTTCCTGCTATCCTGGAGGACACTGCTGCCCCCTTGTGCCTCGATGTTGTAATAAAACACTCAGAATGTTTGAGGCCAGCTAGCTGATCTGGCGCATCACCTGAGCTCTGTAGACCCCTCTGAAGCTCTCTGGGCAGCTGACTGAGAGTAACCAGGTAGGTGCCCAGTCTCCTTCTGAGCCACTGTGCCCACAGTGGGGAACCTAGAAGCATTGCGAGTCAAGGCGGGACTGTCCTCCCAGGCAATGACCCTTGCTAATTGTCCCCCTTAGAGAAGAGCCTCTGAAGAATCACTGGAGGCAAAGAAGGGTAAGACTTCTTAAGTATTTGCAGCAAACAGAATTTAATTAAACAGAATAAACATTCCTCTGACTTGTAGCCAAGCTCCAGAGACTCAGGGCTGCTCCTTAAACAGCAACTTGCTGAGAAGCAAGTACCTGAAAGAGGGACAAAGAATTTTTTTCTCAGAATTAAGAACAAGAAAAGAGAGGGAAAGGAATATATAATAAGATGTATTTGAGGGCTGGGTTTGACCGTGTCCTATACCTTCCTCATGAAAGCAAATGAAATGACTGTCCTGCATCTCCTCACTGTGACATTTGAATTAATTTATGAAAAGCAGTTAGATTTTTCATGCTGTTTTGCCCTGGTGTTTTTTTTTTTTTTTTTAATAAGAAAGGCTTTATTTTTAAGACAAAACAAATAGCATAAACACACATCCAAATGCACATGAGTAAGTTCACTGGGTTTTATAAAAGAGAAAGCTGCACTCAGGTGTCAGTTATAACAGATGCCCCCTGCTTCTGGTGGCATGGATACAACATGTGCTTGTCTAAGAAGTCGTTCTGGGGTAGCCATGACAAGAGTGAGGTGATACAAGACAGAAATGCAGGTACGTGAAAGCTTTAAGACCCTTTTCACCACCCTAATGTGCTTTTGTTTTGCTCTGGGGAATTGAAGCAATCAGCAGGTCACCTTACAAAGAACTTAAATGTCAAAGAACACTTTCAAATACCTAAAAGAGATTCAAGATTGTTACTAAAGTTATACAGGGAGGTCAGTAGGAGAAAATAGTTTATGTTCTCAAAACCCAGGTTTCACACAATATGAAGAGACTGATTTTAGTAAAGGCTGGTCTTTTTCATGATGCGCAGGAACTCCTGCCCATTGGCTTCTCCATCTCCATCTCGATCAGTCTCATTGATCATTTCCTGTAGCTCCTCATCAGTGAGGTTCTCATCCAACTCCTTGGCCACACGTTTTAGATTTTTGAATGATATCTTCCCAGTTTCATCATCATTGAAGAGCTTGAAAGCTTTCAGAATTTCTTCTTTGGTATCTTTCTCAGACAGTTTCTGAATCATCACAGTCAAAAAGTCACTGAAGTTCATTTTTCCTGTCCCTTCCTTATCGATATCACTTACCATTTTCTTTATCTCTTCTTTCTTGGGTTCAAAGCCCAGTGCCCTCATTGCCACCTTAAGTTCCTTAACATCTATGGTCCCAGTTCCATCAGCATCAAAGAGATCAAAAACTTCCCGGATTTCCTGTTTCTGCTCTTCAGTAAGCTCTGGTTTAGGACTCATCCTCTTTTGCTGGGCAGATGATGCCTTGCTTGCCTTCTTAAAGTTAGAGGCCATTGTCAATGGACTCCGCTGCCTGCCCTAATGGGTTTTAATATGAATTTATTTGTGTGAATATTTGAAGAATGCTTGTCTTCCCCATGGACTGTAAGCTCCAAACTGGTGGGGACCATGCTTGCTGACCTGGGAATATTTGTTGAATAAATGATTAATGATTGTTCTTTTTTGAGTGTGAATTAATAGGTTTGAAAAATATTGGATAAAAGTTCCCCATGAGTTTATTTTTCTTTTCTACAGCCTTTCATGGAGGCAACTTACTAAGATAAAAGAGCTTTATAGCCAAACACGGGTTCAAATCCCAGTCCTATGGCTGAATATCTGCTTGACCTTAGGGAAGTTTCTTAAACCTCTCTGAGCTCATTTCTCACATACCATGTAAGAAAATATCTACTTCCTTTGCTTATTATAAGGACTTAATGAGAACATGCATCTCCTACACAAGCTGGCTCAGTGCCCAGCATACCATGGGTGATCATTAACTGCTACTCTTATCCATCCTGCACCCTCTGCATTCCCTCAAAGCTGAATATATCTTAGAACAGATTTTTCTACAATCTAGACAAGTCAAATCAACTGTATCTACATACATAGACACACCCATATGCAATCTCATAGATTATACTTCTTTGTCCAGCAGAACTTCCACCAAATTTGTCAGTAAACAATAAAGTGAGCTCATTTCCATTTCCCCACTCTGTTGAGAGATATAATAAAATGACAACAGGGTCATTGCATATGTTAGGGTGTTTTTGACTCTAAGTAACTGAAAACCAATAAATAAAAATGGCTTACACAATGAGGAAAATGTATGATCTCACATAAGAAGCCAAAAGAAGATAGGCACAATGAAGTCATCAAAGAGCCAGAATCTAGCCAATGCAGTGGGTCAGGAAAAGAAGACTGAGGATAAGATTGCTGCAAAGCTGCAGAAAAATACATCTTCATATAATCATATATATATATATATATATACATAAATATATATGTGTGGTGGATGTATGTGTATATCATCATATTGGTGTTTTATTCTTTCCAACTGAAACATTGCACGATTATTTTAAGTAGAATTTTTTTATTCAGTTGTGTTTTCTTTTTCCAATATCAGTAGGCTGATGTCATGCCAATTTGAAAGTGATTTAATCAATTCATAAAATCTGCATAATGACCTTGATGATATAGAGCAGAAAAGAATAAGGACAGGACACCCCTCAGCATATGGAATACAATTCATAGCAATATTGCGTCATAGCAATCATGAAAAGAATATTCAATTTTGCAGTCAATGCTGGTCCTGTGCACTCCTGAACACAGCCTTGACAGGGTGGATTCCTTTCAAACTAGTTAAACTAGGGTTCCAAGTAGTGAATTTTACTATAGAAAAGACACTTAAACAGAAACTGCTATGAAAACTGAGGTCAACTCATATTGAGAAGAAGCAGACTGTAGTTTTCAGACCTCTAAAGATGGCCCACTCATGATTCCTGTCTCCTGGCTATTCAACCAAACACTAATCGAGGTATTGCCTTAAAGAGATTTTACAGGTGTAATTAAAGTCCCATATCAGTTGAACTTAAGATACAGAGATCATCCTTGTGGGTCTGATCTATTCATATGAGCCCTTTAAAAGATAAGTGAAATCAGAACTTGTGAGAAGAAAACTGAGCAAGGCACCCAGCTAGTAGTCCACCATGTAATGGGGACCTCAGTCCTACAACCAAAAGAAACAGAATCCTGCCAACAATCTGAATGAGCTAGGAGGAACACGGCCAGGTCCACAAGAGAACCAGTCAGCTAACATGTTGAGTGTGAGACCCTGAGTAGAGAACAGAGCTGAGCCATGACAGACTCTTGCCCCACAGAACTGAGATAATAAACTTGTGTTGTCTTAAGTCACTAAGTTTTGAGCAATTTTTTGTGCAACAATAGAACTAATATATGGGACTTTTCTTCAGTCACTGTTGTCTTTCCCCCTCACCCCCAATGGTTTTGGATACCTGAAAAACTTAACTCTGTTGTAATTGACAAAATGAGTTTTGACCAAATAAACCCTCTCTTTGCATAAAGTTGGAGAAATCTTTTTCTGAAGACTCTTTAAATCAAATAACTACATGCATTTTAATAAAGGTTTGGGACTTGGGCCTGATCCCAGAAAGGCTTTTCCTACAGAATTTGGGCAACTTCATTCTGCAAAATCAGCATAAGTGATAAGTGACTTGAGAATATTAAAAGACATCCAACATTTGTAGAGTTTCTAGAATAGTGCTAGGATCTTTATATACATATTGTAGATGAGTTATCATTTCCTCGCTGTAAAATTCTATTACTTTCTACATTTTATAGACTGAGACTCAGAGGCTGGACATTTCAATGATTTCTTTGTTAGTAGAGCTGGAACTTGAGATTTTTTTTTCTTTTCTTTCTTTTTTTTTGGCTGTAAATCTCATGTAATTTCCCTCTCCCTTAGAGTTGGAAAAGAGAGTTTGAGGTGCAGAGAAAATTTGCCTTGTGCCTGGGATTTCTCCATCACCCTGGGTGACTGGGGAACCTCACTGGGCTCAGAATGTGCCTGTACCTCACACTCAAACAACTGAACTGAATCTTGATTATCACCCAGCACTTGTGTCTTTTCCAATATTAGGGAGGGAAGTCTTTCTCCAATTTTTTTTCGATATAAAATTTATATTTAGCCCAAAGAGTGTATTAGAGAATGCAGAAATTTCTTAATGCAAATTTTGGAAGCAGGAAAATAGACCCATCATGTTGGTTGTATCCAGTTTTTAAAGTTTTTCTTTTTTATACACTATTTTAATTTTCTATTGTTTTTTACATGTGATGTCAGTATTTCTTAGAGGCCATTTTACAGGTGAGGAAACTTAGACTGGAAGAAAATAAATGACATTAGAATAGAAATTTAACCCAACAATTACACTACTACGTATTTACCCCAAAGATACAAATGTAGTGACCTGAAAGGGCACCTGCACCCCAATGTTCATAGCAGCAATGTCCACAATAGCCAAACTATGGAAAGAGCCCAGATGTCCATCAACAGATGAATGGATAAAGAAGATATGGTATACATATATAATGAAATATTACTCAGCCATCAAAAGGGATGAAATCTTGCCATTTGCAATGACATGGATGGAACTAGAGGGTATTGTGCTAAGTGAAATAAGTCAGAGAAAGACAATTATCATATGATCTCACTCATATGTGGAATTTAAGAAACAAAACAGAGGATCAAATGGGAAGGGAGGAAAAATAAAACAAGAGGAAATTAGAGAGGGAGACAAACCATAAGAGACTCTTAACTATAGGAAACAAACTGAGGGTTGCTGGAGGGGAGGTGGATAGGGAGATGGCGTAACTGGGTGATGGGCATTAAGGAGGGCATGTGATGTAATGAGCACTGGCTGTTACATGCAACTGATGAATCATTGAACTCTACCTCTGAAACTAATAATACACTGTATGTTAGTTAATTGAATTTAAATTAAAAAAAGAAAAGAACAGAAATTTATAACCAGTTCTAGTTCTTAGTGATCAGCTTTTATGTTCTGAAAACTAAAGGGCCAATCCTCTTATTTAAATGAGCTTTTTACAGCCCAATTGTTGAATACAGTAAAGATTTTACAATTTTTATTGAAATAAGAAATGTTTTCTTCTGACCCTGGTGGTTTCCTCTTAATTTCTATGAACATGTTTATGATAAACAGTGATGAGGGTAGGGGGTGGAACCAAGATTTTGACCTCAAAAATTCTTCATAACCATTTAATGGTCTTTAGTGGTGGTTAGGGACAGAGATATATATATAAGAGAAAACTGGGACTTTGAATAATACAACACAAGGCATCTGGGGCTCCTGGGTGGCTCAGTTGGTTGAGTGTCAGATTCTTGGTTTCTACTCAGGTCATGATCTCAGGCTCTTGATCTCAGGGTCCTGAGATTGAGTCTTGCTTCAGGCTCCATGCTCAGTGGGGAGTCTGCTGGAGATTCTCCCTCTCTCCCTCTCTGCCTCTGCCCCTTCCCCTCCCAAATAAATAAATAAATATTTTTAAAAAATACAACACAAGTCATCAAAAGTGTTCCTCAGCACAATTAAATAGAGAAGAACAGCAAATTACAGAGAAAAAAGTATTTCGGAGTGTATGGCATTCCAAAAATTTGCCCACAAGTTTTTCAAAGAAGCAGCCAGAGCAAATTTATTTTTTAATTTCTTTTTTTTTTAAGATTTTATTTATTTATTTGACAGAGAGAGAGAGACCACAAGTAGGCAGACATGCAGGCAGAGGGAAAAGGAGAAGCAGGATCCCTGCTGAACATGGAGCCTGATGCTGGGCTCGATCCCAGGATGCTGGGATCATGACCTGAGCCGAAGGGCAGACGCTTAACCAACTGAGCCACCCAGGTGCCCCTATTTTCTAATTTCTTAAAAGCTAAGAGCAGGTTGAAGGGGTACCTGGCTGGCTCAGTTGGTAGAGCATGTGATTCTTGGTCTCAAGGTTGTGAGTTTAAGCCCCATGTTGGGTGTAGAGCCTACTTTAAAAAAAAAAAAAAAAAAAAGCTAAGAGCTGGTTGAGCATTTATCCGTTTCAGATAAACATTTGTAATACTCTCTGTTCTAAACACTGTTGGGCTCTATAAAGATCAGTCCCTGCCTACAGAGTATTTACCAAGTCTAAGAGGAACAGAGAAATCCACATACAGAATCTGGGGATATTAGCAGTACAAGTCATGGCATAGCACCATTTAAACTTTCAGAAATTCTCCCATAATTGTGAAATGCAGGCCGTGTTTAAATTTCATGCTACTAAGAGAGTGACTTTTCTGAGCAACCCCGTTCCAAGCTAGGGAAGTGGGGAGTGGAATTTAATTTAGAAGAACCTATGCTTTCCCAATTGGATTAGGTATTAAGCAGGGTGGAATAATATATAAAGCCAGTCATGCTTTCCACTTGCAGGTCTCTGAAAATGAAACACTCCATCCTTCATTTTTATTGTATCAGTGAG